ACAAAAGAAAAACAAAAAAAAAAAACGAAAACAAACATGATTTGCATTCCTCAAAGCGTTGTGTTTTTAACTATTGTAATTACTAAAGTGGACACGATCGAATTTCTGGAGTTTTCATAAAATTAGTTATGGGGGGAGGTAATAAATATAAAGAAATATTTCTGCCATGACTAATAAAAGAAAACATTTATAATAATTTCGATCATCTGTGAATAGTTTCTGAAAGTTTCATTAACATCCGACAATTATTTTTATTTTTGAAAGATTTTCCAAATTAATGTGTGTCACAAAAAAATGAAAAACTTGTTAAAAATTGTATATGTTATTTTACTAGTTCCGGTGATACAAAGAGAAACAAGTATTTTTAAATGAAAATTCAGAGAAAAGGTACATGGAAACTACAAGACGGAGATTGTAAAGTGACTGACGGCGAGATGCCGGGTCAGGACCAATAACAAAGCAGATTCTTTAGATTTTGCATACAAATATATATATATATATATATATATTATATAAAAAAACAATAGGAATCTAGTTGCTAAGGACATTTTGTTTGTTGTTAATAGTTACTTTGTTTTTCAATAAATTTATTTTGTCTTTGCCTTGAAAAAGGCCACATTAGACGAAACGCGTCGGCTAATAATACAGTTTTCCTACGGTCTTCTACGTTAATACAAACACGCACGCACAGACACACACACACATATATATATATACACTAAAGTTCAAATATTGAGGCCAACCCTGATAATTTTTTTAAAATTTGTCCCTCAAAATAAAAGAAAGCATTTTATGATTAAATTTTGTCCTCATCAGAATATCCTGCTTTAGCCTTGATTACTGCAGCACAAATTTTTGGCTTTCGTTGCAAAATTTTCTTAAAGTATAAGTTTGATAATTGATCCCATTCCTTTTTCACTGACTCTAAGAGCTCTCTTTCATTTTCTTTTTTCACTTTTCTGTCAAGTTCATTCCATGCTAATTCTGGGAGTGGCTTCAAACTTTTGAACTGTAGTAAGATGATTTAGAATCAAATGCGGATCAAATGTGGATCGGAATCCGACAGAATGATAAGATAAAGAACAAATAGGAAATATCTATCAATCTAACATGTTTTACTTTTATTAAAGCTTCATCAAAGAATGAAATATGGAGAAAAAGGAAAAAGAAATTCTGGTATTTTTTTACTTTTGTGTTGTTTGATTTTCATTTATTAGTCATGTTCGATTTGTTGAAGAAACGTCAGTATAATTTGTAGAGCTCCGGATTCAAGGAGAGACCTTTTTTTTCTAATTTTTTCTAACTGAAAAACCGCAAATATTCCTTTATGCATGTAAGTGTATAATAATTCTATTTTGTCAATGAGATTCAGAGGTTAATGTATATTCGTAAGTGTGTGTAGTAGTAGACATTATGTTTGCTTTTTTTTCGCAGGTTGATTTGGGAACGTTTTTACGTACAAACAGTTAGTTTTAGAACAAATGTGTTCAATTATTTAATAATGGATTCAATAAAGGTTGGTGATGTAAAGATAGACAGACAGAAATGAACAGACTTAGATAAAGAAAAGTATGATGAAATGATTATTTTATTATTCTAGCATTTCCTTATATTTTGTATATAACAAAATATCCTAGATAGATAGATAGATATGAACAAATAGATTGAAATTGATAGATAGATGGTTTGGGATCAAATATGGATCGGAATCCGACAGAATGATGAGATAAAGAACAGATGGGAAACTTTTATCAATCTAACATATTTCACTTTTCTTAAAGTTTCTCTCGAGAATAAAAGAAATTCTGGTATATTCATTTTTGTGTTTGAATTTCATGGGTCAACCATGTTCTGTGGCAGATTAAAATTGTTTGTGTAAGACCCACTGTCTTGCAAAATTAGCAATGGTGAGAGGAAATGGCTCATTCGGGCCATCAGTATTGGTACCAACTTTCATACTTTGGCTTCCATCTTCAAATTTAATTCAAGAACAATCAAGAGAATGGTGAATAATTAAAAAAAATGGAACAGGAAAGAGGAAAACTGGATCAGGTTACAACAGGAAGGGTGATCATCATCATATATATATATATATATATATATATATTTGAACATTATTCCAATATTTCATGATCTTCCGGTCCTTAGCTATGATTAATTAATGATGAACATGTCATTTTCATTTATGATCGATTTCATCACAATTCTTTTGTTAAGCTTAGAGAGTAATTATATGTTCTTATTGCTCAAAGTAGAGTCCAACAGTGCTATATATATATATATATATCTTTAATCATATCTAAGATACAGCAGTTCAAAGCTTAATCTAGCAATTGGACAATTTTGCTTTTACACCTGATAATATATATATATATATATATATATATATATATATATATGCATGTGACTCAACGTGAAGTGTATCTGGGCATGAGAAACGTGAGATAATCAGGCTTATTCATAAATCAAAGGAGATCCAGTCTTGTTGTGCTACCTTAGCTGATGCAATTGCTTCTCCTTCCCAAGTTGCATCTGCGGGGTCGCAGATTGTTGTCAATATGTAGGGGGGAAAACCAGGCGTTACACAAGACACCCTCAGGTGCATCAAGTATATGGAGTATGCTGCAACATCGACGAAGAATTTGCAGCCTGAATGACTGCCTCCAACTGAACAATCAATCAATATATTATTTATATATATATATATATATATATATATATATATATGAATATTATATATAATATATACAATATATTATATAAATAATATATATACTATATATAATATATACAATATATTATATAAATATTTTATTATATATAATATATATATTATATAAATATTATATTACATATAATATATATATTATATAAATATTGTATTATATATATATATTATATAAATATTATATTCCATATAATATATATATTATATAAATATTATATTCCATATAATATATATATTATATAAATATTATATTCCATATAATATATATATATATAAATATTATATTATATAATATATATTATATAAATATATATTCCATATAATAAATATTTATAAATTCCATATAATATATATATTATATAAATATTATATTCCATATAATATATATATTATATAAATATTATATTCCATATAATATATATATTATATAAATATTATATTCCATATAATATATTATATAAATATTATATTCCATATAATATATGCAGTATTCTGGCAGCAATTTTAAATTTATAATAGTTTGACAATAGTCCAACAAAAGGATGTTTTTATTTATTATTTTTATAATTATTATAATTTTATGGAAAAATATTTTTTATATATTTCCGACCATTTGAAATATAGATTGTCCAAATGTCTGCTTACTTTGAGTTTTTGACTAAACGCACACACGTGCTGTACAACTGTTCACAGCAGTTTCAGTTTTACCTTTTGTCCAGGTTATGTTTTTATCTTATTTTTCTTTTGGATGCCTCTATTCAATAGAGTTTCCATGTTTTAATAAGTTTAAATCTATTCAACTTCGCCATTCTTATTTAGTACCAGATCTGACTGCGGGTATCATTTCTAAAATCCGATTACGTCCAGTTCTTCCATCTCAGTAAAGTTCGACCATAAGAAGCCAATCATTTGTTATCTATGTGTTGAGCGCGAAAAGTATTACATTGCACGATATTTGCAAAATGAAGGTTAAACTCTCCTCGCTGACTTGCAACGAAAACCAAACTTGCCACTTTTGTTTATGACTGAAGACAAACGACTTTAGCGCTAAACAATCAAAAGCCAGATTAACCACGTCAAAATATGGCGTTATCGTTACAATCGCAACGTCTTTTGTAAGGAGGATAATCTGGCGGGGTTCGGGGAAGGACTTAACCCAGACCTTTTGTAGTTGATGGCGTATCATTTATATTTAACCTGAACACATTGAAGTCGATTTCAGCGTTTTGAAAAGATGGAGAAAGCACTTTATGGATATTATTATCAAAGAATCATTGTCAGTGCAATGAAACATTACAAAAATTCGACTGGACTAAAAGAAGTCCGATAGATATTTTTAAAATAATTAGATATTAATGAAACTTACTTTATCTAACATCGTTGTCTTTGACATTTCGAGTTGAATTTTGAAAACACTCAACTCGCCCAGGAATTAAAGATATCTGAATAAAAAAAACACGAAATTTAATTTCATTATTGCTTGATAATATTGGATTTAGTATATCAAAGAATTATTTACACTATTTATATTCGGACTATTGTCTTCGTCTTTGATGTAAATGTACTTAGTGCAAATAATGATAACTACACATCACAGAATAAAGTGTATTTATATACATGATCTCTCCAAAGCCTGGTTTCATAGATATTTTGTTATATGAAATTGATTCGTTATTTACGGCTTATCAACCTTTAGCAGGTTATTTAAAGCCAGAAAATATTTTTAGATTTTAAGAATTTTGGGATGATAATAATGGCTTAGTGATACAAGTCTTACGAGTTAACCCCAATTTTTTTTTTAGTACTGTTCAGTTATTGCTAATCCGTGTCCATTGAATGTGAATGTATTATTCGACCATGGATTGAACTCCTAAGTACGATGCAGCCAAATTCATGAACCGACATTTTTAATACCCGGGACGAGAGACTCAGTTCGTTGAGTGCATTTTTCTAAGTCGTTACCAGGAGTACAAATTCACGCCTCCTAACACAAAGGAAAAAGCGGTTGATACATTTTTTAAGGTTTATCAACCCTTTACAGGTTATCTAAAGCCAGAAAATATTTTTAGAGTAAAAGAATTTTTCTTTTAAAATAACAATGATTTAGCTATACAAATCTTACTTATTAACCCATAGCTGGGATAGACGAAGTGGATTTATACTTTTCCCAATAATATTTGAGCGTAAGTGAATATAACGAACACAAGGGGAATTAGAACTCGGCTCACCGATTAACAATTCCGAGCCATGATCCATTACACTACGTCCAAGTTGACAGCTTCTGGTATTCCCAAGCGGTCAACCAGCTAGGTACTGAACAGGCTCGACGTTGCTTAACTCCGGAGATCGTATGTTTCAACGTGATGTGACGTAAGCGGAAATTTGATATTTTTTTTTTCCAGATGACTTTGAAATTAATAGATACTTGAATTGAATTTGTTCGTATATACAATACACAATTCTTCATAGAAAGGTTATCGCGAAATTCAATAGAATGCATACAGATAAGAAAGACATGCAATTGTTGGAAAAGATTTTACACTTTTAATGGAAGCAAGAAGCGTATATGAGCGACGTTGTCGTCGTCATCCAAAAACTGTAAATGATAAACAAATCTTGGCGGACATCTTGTTTAAGGAAAGCCTGAAGTCCTCTAAAAGTAATCGATCCAGAACTATCATTGTACTAAAAATCTTCACACGTTACTACATCAAGTTTTGCTCTTGGACTTGCTGTTACTGTCCTTTTTCTGGTAATTTGAAGCCAATTTCATATTTACCACTGAAAGTAACCTGAAACGGATTTCATATCAACTCGGCACTGTTCAAGTTACCGTTTTCTTTATTTCTAATCATTTCATCCCAACCAAGGCGGGAAATACCACTTGTACGCAGGGCGGGGGGGGGAGTGAAAGTGAGACAAAAGACTTGGTAGAGGGAGGATTGAGGAAAGTATAAAAGATGAACCGAATTCAAGACAGACGATGACGATTGACGTTGAATTTAACTTTTTGAAGATTGTAATTTTCAGGGAAGCAAGTAAACGGAAGGGAATTCCACAAGCGGGGAGTGCAAAAAAGAAAATGTTGGATTAGAAGTGACGGTTACATTTAACTATTTCAATAGTAAAAGAGTGGGACCTAGATGCCAATCTAGTAGCCCGCTTAAATTCACGAAGTCAAGGGACCAGGGAAAAAAGCTCGTCAGAGCAGTAGACATGAAAATATTTGAAGACGTCACATCATATCAGTGAGAAAAGTGACTTAAGTTAAGATGCCAATCAATTACATTGCAGATACTTCATAGGATTTTGTCAAGAACCTCGTAATGAATAGCAAGAGCACCAATTTACATGGCAACAGTAGTCAATGCACGGACGAATGGTAGATTTGTAAATGTGCAGGATGGATCCTGACAAGAAAAAACCTTCTGGCACGACACAGTGACCTAAATTTCCTTGCAGTAGATGCAGCTAGTGATTCAATGTAGTCGTTCCACTTCAAGTCAGCTGAAAACGTGAGGCCAAGAAGGAGCAATGTGGTGCTCTCCAGGATTTTAGTATCAGCCATACTTATGGCGGACAGAAAAGTTTCTCTATGATGGTTAAGTGAGAGTAGTTTTATCTTGGAGGAATTACAATTTACAAGCCATTTCTTGCCCCAGTTAACCAATGATTGGAGGTCTTTTTAAGAGTAGCTGCCAGGTAAACTTTGTCATCTGACAGATTTGCTATAGAGAAAAGAGTAAATGGTAGTGTCGTCTGCTTAAATGCCTACTTGAGAACTGATGACATCAGAGAGATCACTGATGAAGGATCCAGGATAGAGCCTTGGGGGACACCCACGATTGTGTGAAAGGATCTGGAAGTGAGCCCGTTCAAAACGACCTTTATTTCCCGATTTGATAGGAACAATTGGATTAAATCAAACAATCGTCCTGGAATACTGTAGCCCGGGAACTTACGTGCCAAACCCTGTCAAACGCCTTCGAAATGTCTAGAGCCACATCTCGAGCTTCGCCGTTATTATCAATCGCCTGATATACATACTTATTGATGGCTTTTAATACATCAGCGGTAAACCTGGCAAAATGGAAGCCATATTGTTTGTCAGAGAGTAGGTCGAGAGAAGTAAGGTGATTAACCACTTCAGTATTGATTAAAACCTCAAATACTTTGCCGAAAAGCAGTAGGAGACTAATGGGGCGATAGTTAGAGAGGTCAGAAGGTTCTCCAGAGTTCTTAAAAACAGAAATTACAGAGGAGTAGTTCCAATAAACTGGAAAGCAGGAAGCAGCGAGGCAATAGTTGTAGAGTTTGGAGCGAAGTGGAGCCAGCTCGTGGGGCCAGCTCGTGGAGGGGAGGTTTCTTTAGAACGACGGCTAGGGTCCCGTCACTTCCGCTGCTTTATGAGAGTCTAGAAATGATGTCTAAGACCAGTGACGGGCTTATGTGCATATCACTCAGTAGAGTCTCAGTTAGGGAGGAGGTGGAATCAGGTGCGGGTCCTCCAAATGTGTCGAGTTTTGAGTTGGAAGAGAATTCCCAAGTAAAGCATTCGACCTTATCTGCTGTAGATATCAAAACTTCGAATTGATTGAATAGAGGAGGGATTGAGGATTTGCTGCTGTTCAGCACAGTCTTGAAGAACCGCCAATAATCTCTAGAACCGAACTTGCGAGATGCTATACGTTGTTTCATTCTATCAGCAAACAGTAACTTCTCTTCTTTGAGGACACATTTGCACTTGTTATGAACAAATACAAGGAGATGTCTGTTGCAATCAGACGTGTCGCTCTGGTACAACCGGAAGAAGTAATTCCTGCGAGCTACAGCGACCGAGTAAGCAGGTGAGAACCAGGGAGATGAACGCGGTAATTTCTTGTGGGAATGAAAGCCTCGATGTCGGCTTTTACCCAGGAGGAAGGCCTCAGACGCGCATTTTGAACAGGATCATTAAAAACTTCATTCCAAGTGACGTCACAAAGGAAATCACGGAACGAATCCCAATCCGCTCGTTGATAACAGAAAGTTATTCTGTTGGTAGGAGTTTATTGGTTGGTGGGGGAGCAGAAAGAGATGTTTACAGACACTACCGCATGATCAGAGTTGCCAAGAGGGCAGAGCTGCATGTTACAACATGAATAGAGTTAAAAAAGAGATCTAGAAGAGAAATGTGTCCGTCGAAGTTACTAGGGAAACGCGCGGAGAAGTCCACCACTTGTGTAAGAGATTGAGAAGTTAAGGGTTTTGATGCCAGCGACTTCAGTGACAGAATACATTTGGAAACGGGTGTAGGGAGATGGCATAGTCTATATTATCAGAAATACTATGTAGCACGCAACAGTCATGAGAGGAAGGTGAACGGCAGAGAATGAAGAATATAAATACAATACAATCGTGTGAAATAGAAGAAAAACTTTAATAAAGTTCATTAGAATCCGATTATAGAATTTTAATTAGTCTTTTTGGTCATGATAATGCTGTAGGTAACGGAGAAGCAATTTGTTTTCGTGTCTGCATTTAGAAATAAACTCCGATCTTTTGTTTTGAATTTTATCTTGTTCTTTAAAAGTAATTATCACTATAATCAACATGAATTGTTGATTCCTCTATCCACACTGAATATATATATATATATATATATATATATATATATATATATATATATGTGTGTGTGTGTTCTATCAACGATACTGATAATTCCCTTATACATATAGCAAATTTTAAACGCTCGTGCGCGTACAAACACACACCAATACAGATTGCGACAGAAATACCTCCACATAGTGATAAGACATTATCGAGATGAAGACACTATTGCCACTAAAATCTTACCATTATGAGAGATAGGAAAAAGGGGGATATATGTATATCCCAGAAAAACGAAAATGATGTTACTAATATTAATGAATTCTGATTAAGATTTTCTGCAGCACATGAGCATTTAAAATACAATTGTCGTCGACAGATATCACGAAGAATAGATAATTTTCGACATTAGACAAAATGCTAAATAAATAACACAAAAAACAAAGACATAAACCTTGTCCGAAAAGTCAGGTTACCTTTGAGGATTTACGTACAAGTTCTGCATAACTTAAACCACAATTTCTTTTGTTAGAATTACGATGAATAATTTTTACTGCTATCACACATTCGACCAAAATGTTTTGTAAATGGGAAGTCATAAATTTAAACATTTCGTGTCATTAAATATCACCAAGGAAGTGGTGGTGAGCGATTCTGTTTACAAACTGGTCACTGGACCACGGTGAAACTGAACTAATTTTACAAAAATAATCAGGATCTTTTTACACTACTTCGTCGAATAAATCCTTTTGACTTTAATTCAAGTGTTATGTATCTAAAAGGATATCAAGAGATGGGGACATTCAACTAGATGACCTTTCCTTTCTACCGAGTCAGACTAACAAGAGCAAAAGTGATGCAAATTATTTCTATGATGTAAGTATTGTGCATTTTACAAGTTTTTACAATGGAGCTCTCGAGTTAAGAGATTTCTGAATAAAATAAACCACGTTATGGTCTTATAGCCTATTAGGGCCTCAGGGGACGCTAGATGGATTGCAACCGTAGTAGGTGTATGGGTGTCTATTGGTTGTCACGTCAAGGCAAGAGAACCCAATCAGTTCTGGTAATTAATCCATGGCTGGAGTAAAATGCTAATATCCTCGGAAAAGGATATTAGCATTTTACTCCAGCCGAAGTTAATCAGATTCAATCGGGAATTGAACTCGGAGCAACGAATTCACTTTCTGTGACGATAACCATCGCATTATTCGCTTCTATCGAAATTAATCACAACATTGGAAAGAAAGCGCAAGTTCAATTTATATTTCCATTCTCATCTCCAAGAATACGTGAATGGCGATATTTCAAGACCCATTATCTTGGACGTTTCTGAAAACTAAGCATTACCATAGCCTGGAACATTTGTTTTACGTAACACGAGCTTAACCCACGCATCATTCCTCTCAGTCATACGTGCCTTTGTGGCACGCCGATATTAAGAACGAAATATCAATTGAGATAACTTTTGTTAGGTGTTATTACCATTCTTTGAATCATTCTTGAACGTTATTAGTAAAATTATTTTTATTTAGTTTGGAGAATCATTTTTAATTGTGTTTCAGAGATTAGTAAATTACATCTCTGTTGACACGTAGATTAGATCTCTTGTGGGTTAGCATCAGTCATGCTGATGGAAAAAAAGGGTTCTTTCAGACGATTAAAAAGCAGTTTCGTTTTTGAGGCGTTAAAATTAACAAGCCATTCTTTGCCCCATTTAACAAGAGATTGTAGGTTATTTTTGAGACCAGATGCTAATTTGACCTTATCAAACCGATCAGACTATCATATATTATATAGTTTTTGACATTAAAAAACAGTAAGGTAAAAAAAAAAATATGGCCAATAATCAGAGCTTGGGTCATGGTGAGGATCTTCGGCGATTAAAGCCAGCAGAAGATTGGAACCTTTCTCTACAAGCATAAAATCTCTTAAATAAATCGGATTTGTCCAAAGATCTACTTCTCCGTTTCAGTCAGAAAACTGATCGAAGTTCACTTCCAAGATAGAATGATAAACGGTAAAACCTAGACGACTGGATCGAATAGCCGGACGTTGACATGTTAGGAGAAATGATTGTGAGCATGCATATTGTTGTACCTTGACCAATGGGCCGAGTGCGGTTTGCTTTATTGATAATCTATTTTGCCCGCCTGGTTGTCTCGAAGTGTTGGGAAAAAGAGGACAGGATGCCCAAGCAACTGACACAATTCGATGGATCGTAGCAGAAAAGAGAGATACGTTGTCTCTCGACAGCTGACTTTTGATTGTTTGTGACAGCGGATTTTCGACATGTCTTTAACTCATTCTTCACGGGAGTAGAAACGGAAATTCAATCTTTTCAGTCGCTATATAATAGCTTTTCGATGATCTGGACATTCGATTCATCGATATATCACCAAAGATAACGGGAGAATCGTATAAACGCCGGATAATTTTGAAGAGGTGGAGTCAATAATTATGCATGAAGTCGCTATCTAATTAAATACACAGGCATTTGTTTCAAATATTGTCACTTGAGTAAGATGATCTCAAATCATCGTATGCTGTCACCTCTGGGTAGACAAGAGTGATCTAATAGATTTCGGTTCAGAGAGACATTAAATTCATGTGTTCAGCTCTATATGGTCCGGAGCTTGGACACTTCGACGTGGTTTAATGGTTAGCAAGCTTGTCTCGCTAGAGCAATTACGATTGAATAGTGAGTTCGATCCTCACTGGGTGCTCCATACTTTTGGCCTTGTGCCACGTCTAAGCTACGCTTGGAAAATCACTTTTGGGCACCTCGATTGGTGTAATGGTTAGCAAGCTTGTCTCGCTAGAACAATTACGACTGAATAGTGAGTTCGATCCTCGCTGGGTGCTCCAGACTTTAGGCCTTGTGCCACATCTAAGCTATGCTTAGTAAACCATTATAAATGCCCGGTTTTATTGGCCAATAAAGTTATGACTTTTTCACTGAATCAGATGCCAAAATTAGACATTTGTAATTGTGATCTCTTACTGCATTTACAACAAACCGTCGTAATTCAAGAATTAATATATATATATATATATATATATATATATATATATATATATATATATATGTGTGTGTGTGTGTGCAGCTATGGAGAAAAATAGGAAAAGAACACGTTAGGTAAATAGTCCGGAGTTCTTTAGTATTTTTGTTTTTATTTTAAAAAAAAATGTGCTCCATACAGAAGTAGAGCTTAAATTATAATTTCGCTTGAGGATGAAATAGAGCTTGATACTTTAACTCAATTTAATTTTAATAATTATATTGAGGTTTTCGGCTTTCGTTTTTGAAACATGAGAACTCTTATGTAGCGAAGGAATCATATTTTTAAAAAATAATTATAATATATATATATGTGTGTGTGTATTATATATTTATATATATATATTTTTGTATGTGCGCTTGCAGGTTTAGGGCACAAAAGCTAGAGGAATGTTTCACGTGACATTTTTTTCATTTTCGATAGTCATGCACTGTCTTAACGAATTTCAATATCTGTTTTTATTGAAAGTGTCATCAACTGACATCTGTGTATAGAAGGAAGATTCCAAAAAGCTAATAAAAAATTCTTGTTTAATAAATCGTACAAGATCAAGTCATAAATTAATATTCGAAAACTAATCTGAACACAGTTCGTTTCTGATTTCAATTCATTTATATAAAACCACTGTTTCAAATATACTGTTGACATCACTATAGTAGCCAACCTTTTTATAAGACATTTTTCTTGTGAATTACTTCCGCTCTTAAATCTGACTTTGAAGTTTGACGAACTTTCTCGAGAAAGAAAAATTGAAAAAAAAAAAAAAAAAAAAAAAAAAAATCAAACAAAAGTATAATTTAAGTATGGACAGAAGTAAATGATCAATTTGTAAAAACTGGTATTTACTTTCGAGTGGATGTGGGGGGTGTAATGGATAACAGCTTGAAGTTAGAATTCGGAGAGTAGAGTTCGAATTTTAGTCTATTTACACGCATTTACCCTTGGAAAAGTATAAATCTGTTTCTTCTTCCCCTAGTTATGGTTTGAATAGCAGAACAGACGAGGCTCTCTAGCCGTGGTTGGCAATCAGTCTAGGAGAAAGACAAGTAAAAATGTCAAAACCCTACGTGGTCCTGACACAGCGATAACCTTAAGCAAGATTTTGACCAAAGGGATTAAGAAAACAAACCAGGGAACTATTTTGCAACTATTGCATTTACTTTCATCTTATTTCAATTTTTTTCAATCGACAGCAACGAGTAGGCAGTGTATCTTATAACAGTCGTTGCTTCTTTTTTTAGTTGTTTACTTTATGATATAAATAACGAAAGGCCGGAGAAACCCAGTATCATAATTTGAAGAAACAGGAAAATAACACTGAACTCTTATGTAATATCGATCTTCTCATGTAGAACTAAGTACTAGGCAATCTCCTCAAAGATGAAGAGACTTGAGGCAACATAAATGTGGTTCTACAGAAGGATGCTGAGAACACTTGAGCAATGAAATTTGAGCGAAACTGGAAACAAAAAAAGAGGGGGTTATACATAGCATCAGAAAGAGACGGTGGAGGAATGAGGAAACTGGGCTTGAAAAAACTTGATACTCGCTAGACATATTGAAGGCAATAGAGACAAAGAACAGTAGCGGACAACCTACCTAACAGGCTTGTGTAAATGGTTGAAAGAACAAGGGTAAGGAGAGAAAATTGTGGAGAGCCATGATCGCCACGAAGAAGAAGTGAGACATAAATAACTAAAGATCGGTGAATATGTTAAAGCAGAAACATACAAAGTTAATCATTATTTATTCATCATTGACCACCTTATTAAAAGCTAAAAGGCCAGTAAAATAAAGATGAAAGTAAATACTAATAAAAAATTCATAATAACCGTTGATAATGTTTCTTCTAATAAAAAGATAATATTGCTTAGTTTTTTTTTTTTTTACAGCGTGATTCACCCTGTACAAAGTAGTTAACCTTTCCTCAGTTAGAATGTTGGCGTAACACAATATTCCTATCCATATTTCTCTCATTAGTATCGTATTAAGATAAGCTTAATAAATCTCATAAGATACACTAATTTTATCTTTCTGATTTTACAAGTTCAGACGAAAAGACGAAGAGGAAAAAGAATAGCCATTTTTTAATCTTAAGTTATTTTCTGTTAGCATTTGTGGGTATAGTGGATTTTATAAGTATTTGACTACCGCTGAAGAGAATGGATATCCAATTCAGGTTTCTTTCTGTTATTTACTAAGCTTATATTACTTTGGCACAAAGCTATGAATATTGGGAACCCAGAATCGAACTCACTAGTAGTGTTCTACAAGACTGGATCGTTAACCATTGCATCAAGGTATCGATTCAGTTTTCCTTTGTAGCGAAAGTTTGATAAATTCGATCATACTCTAGAATTCTATGCTTTAACCAAGATAATGATAAAAAGTCTTCCTGATGTGAAAATTTCGGCAATGTCTGCAACAATATTTTGAACGTTCGACTTAATCATCAATCCAATAAGTCATTAGCTTTTCTTTTTTTTTTTTTTAACTGATGCTGAAAAGGAGAAATTTTTGATCGGTGGGAATATCTTCGTATCCATGACAACGCTCTTTGTCAAAAACAGATTACGAAGCAAGAGAAAACGCCTGAATAATGGAGAGAATAAAGATCAGCGTAGGGTTTCAGTTTTTGTTGCGTAAACCCAGAGATAGCAGGGTACCAAAATAGTAAGTAACCGTCGCAGTATGTAGATTTGGAACCGACAAACATAGAAAGAAAGAAAGAAAATAAAGTGAGAGAAGAAGAAGAATTGAAAGAGAGAGAGAGAGAAAGAAGAAGAATTAAAAGAGAGAGAGAGAGAAAGAAGAAGAATTGAAAGAGAGAGAGAGAGAAGAAGAATTGAAAGAGAGAGAGAGAGAAGAAGAAGAATTGAAAGAGAGAGAGAGAGAGAAGAAGAATTGAAAGAGAGAGAGAGAGAGAGAAGAAGAATTGAAAGAGAGAGAGAGAGAGAGAAGAAGAATTGAAAGAGAGAGAGAGAGAAGAAGAATTGAAAGAGAGAGAGAGAGAAGAAGAATTGAAAGAGAGAGAGAGAGAAGAAGAAAAAGAGAGAGAGAGAAGAAGAATTGAAAAGAGAGAGAGAAGAAGAAGAAAGAAGAGAGAGAAGAAGAAGAGAGAGAGAGAAGAAGAATTGAAAGAGAGAGAGAGAAGAAGAATTGAAAGAGAGAGAGGAGAAGAATTGAAAGAGAGAGAGGAGAAGAATTGAAAGAGAGAGGAGAAGAATTGAAAGTGAGAGTGAAAGAGAGAGAGAGAAAGTGAGAGTGAGAGAGAGAGAGAGAAAGTGAGAGTGAAAGAGAGAGAGAGAGAAAGAGAGAGAGAGAGAAAGTGGGAGTGAAAGAGAGAGAGAGAGAAAGTGGGAGGAAAAAGAGAGAGAGAAAGTGAGAGGAAAGGAGAGAGAAAGTGAGAGGAAAGAGAGAGAGAAAAGAGAGAAAGAGAGAGAGAGAGAGGAAAGAGAGAGAGAAAGAGAGAGAGAGAGAGGAAAGTGAAAGAGAGAGAGAGAGTGAAAGTGAGAGAGAGAGAGAGAGAGAAAGTGAGAGAGAGAGAGAGAGAGAAAGTGAGAGTGAAAGAGAGAGAGAGAGAAAGTGAGAGTGAAAGAGAGAGAGAGAGAAAGTGAGAGTGAAAGAGAGAGAGAGAGAAAGTGAGAGTGAAAGTGAAAGAGAGAGGGTGAAAGTGAAAGAGAGAGGGAAAAAGTGAAAGAGAGAGGGTGAAAGTGAAAGAGAGAGGGTGAAAGTGAAAGAGAGAGGGTGAAAGTGAAAGAGAGAGGGTGAAAGTGAAAGAGAGAGGGTGAAAGTGAAAGAGAGAGGGTGAAAGTGAAAGAGAGAGGGTGAAAGAAAGAGACATTGAGAGAAAGAGAGAGAGTCAGTGAAAGAGAGAGAGAGAGTCAGTGAAAGAGTGAAAGAGAGAGAGAGAGAGAAAACAGAAAAAACAAAAAAAACAAAAGAAAGAACGCGGATAGACGAGCCTAATGTTATGTTTAATCCGATCCCAAAGTAGCCAAACGTTTAACAGGCTTCAACAGTAGAGTAAATATACATTCAGGATTTTTTTTTTAATTCCTGTTCGACTCTTAAAATAAAACATTTCTTCCGAATACAAAACAGGTATAATATGTGCAGGAATATATTAGTCTCACAAGAAGATCTTTATTGCTTCATGAAGTCATTATAAATTAAAGGTTCACCCCCAACTCCATTTTGAAATCGACCAAAATACAATTGTTTTAAAACCGCACAGATGAGCCACATCGCGTGTTACAAAGTTGTCGACTTTCAATTCCTTAAATAATGAGCTAAAGTTTCATTTCAGAGATTAAATTGGCGGAGTCAAATGTCTTTGGACAAGATTTTACCGTCGGTTGTTTTCATTCCGACCACTTGAGAGTCGGAAGAGAATATTACAGATTTTTTACCGAGCTTGGCTTATTTTGATTAAAGTCGCCATAGAAGAATAGTTAGCAGGCTTATCTCGTAGAAGCTTACTACTGTAGCGAGTTTTGCATTCCCTACGTGACCTAAACTTTTCGCATTATGTCAGACTAGGCTCAGTTTAGAAAATGACTATACGCATAATACGGCATACATAAATATACAGATACTACCAGCTTGCCGTAGAGCAGAAGCTAGCAAATTAATCTCCCAGATCATTACTATGATATTGAGATCAATCCTTAACGAGGGCCTCACACTGATGGCATTTTTTTTCGTGTCTGGTTTGAGTAAAGAAGAACGTCTAGTCAACTATCTCATCTCGTGAAACCATCCAAATCAGTGTTGTTGTTTTTTTTTTTGTTTATACCTCTTTTCCCCATCGCAAATTATGTTAGCAGTCGTCTTGGCCTTAGATTGATCTTGTCTGGCATCCAGTACGAAAAAGTACAAATAATTTGAACACTAAAACAAAGTATTTACTATAACCTCTAGTTAAGTGTCGGCAACAAAGCTCTCTCCAGGGGATGACCTTAGGTTTAGAGCGGACTCGCAATATCATTACCAATAACCCGAGACGCCCTAGTAGTATCACCAGATTAGATTTTTTTTACCGAAATATTGAACGAATGCCAGGTTCAAGCAGATGCTGTCCATGCTTCAATCTTGAAGCCTATCTCCTTTCAGATGGGCTAGACATCACTCAGGTATATTAAGTAGGAATGACACCCTGGCCAGTGACTACAACAGAATAGTATATAGCCGTAAAGCCATTAGTTCTGTCCAATTATTCGAAACAGAAAAAGAAAGAAAGACTCAATCTATTCACTATTAATGCAGAAAAAAGGGTAATTACCAGACAAGAAGAGGAATAAAATCGAAGTAATCATTCGTAGAATTAACGAAAAAGGAAAACGAAACAATTGGTTAATAATTAGAAATATGAACTTTACTTTCAGTGCCCTTCTGAGAGAATGTTTAACCAATTCGATGAGTAAACACGGAGTTCAATGTTCAACCTCTACCCACTGGTAAACGTGCCGCCGATACAGCCAGAACGTTGCAAGTCGCGGAAAAAGGTCCTGAATGGATCATGAAGGCACACTCGCTATTTAGATATTTTAGCAACAAAAAAAAAAAAAAACTTGCTTCGAAGCGAAATTAAATTTAACATGCAAGAAAGCTTGCTCACGAACAGTGATAAGACGAGACGAGTGCATCACCCACGCCCAAGCGCTCAACATAGACAGTTTACTTGTCTCCCAAATGGACCCAAACTATCCTCTTCACCTCTATTACTTGTTTAGCAAGTGCAAGAATGACTAATGTCACGTTTGTTCTGACCGAAGACTATACATTCAACCTGCTCCTACCAGTCAGAAATACAAGGCAAAAATCTCACAACACCTATCTTCTCATAGTCTTGAATTAAAAAAAAAAGATATTTAAAAAAGAACGTTAAAAAAATAAAATAATTAACATTTCCTACCTCAACATAACACCATAAGTCAAAAAGGCCTTTTCTTTATCGAAAGAATATACAAACGCCGTTCCGGTCTCAGAGAGACTGGTAGTTACCTAGTTTGCAGATATAAATTGCTAGAGCAATAAAAAAAATCATTACACTATTTACATTATTTGGACTATTGTCCGCATCATATTTATTACAACGTTTCGGCCGCTGTACGCTCCTGCCTTCTTCGGGTGGTTGGAATGTCGAACTCAACCCTTTATTTCGGTCACTGGGGTAGATTGTTCTAATTCTACTAATGCCATGTTTTAAAGGATGTCTGCTATCAGTTATCTCCTGTTAATTCCCCGCTGAAAGTTCTCCACTGCCTTAACCGGGTATTAAACTCACACTCTTTGGGTCCTGCCACTGGATCTAACTAAAGCCTTTATCCACTGGGCAATATGTAATAAATATGTCGACAAAATTGAGGACAATAGTCCGAATAATGTAAATAGTGTACATAATACATCATCTCAGAAATATAGACAGATACAAAAAATCATTGTCCACCACTGAAAAAAATAAATTTGTTAATCTCTTCAGGAAAAAAAAAATCAATAAATGCCAAGTCTGCCATCAGTGTTTGTTTTGAGAGGACAGTACATAAATGCACCGATCCGTGTTCGATTTCAACCATAGTATTAAAATTTCACTCATGACTTAAAACAGCCAAAAAACAAAATGAACACAGTTAACTAACTCCTCCGACCGGAAGAATTCTAAAACATACAAGCTTGATATTTGAACAAAAGCGACTAAGTCTTGCGAGAGTTCCATATCAATACCAACGCCGATTCTGTCCGGTCTTGCAGTCTCTTATTTCCTCTTTTCCGCTCATGACAACTCGAGTCTAGACAGGTATATTGAGGCTGAATTGGCGACAAATCCTCAACATCCGATCTCAGCCGGAAATACACTGTCCGTCCAAGCTTACACATACACAAATCATAGTAAGTCTTCAACTTTCATTCATGCGCCCAGCTACTTCAATATTCACTTTTTGGGATTTAACTGACGATATTACAATGTCAGGACTCTGGATAGTTAATGATATTTCAGGTGGAAAAACGGAACTGTGTTCTAGGTCACCGACGACAGACGAGTCACAATACACGGTTGGTTTACATTTCTTCCCAGATATTCTACTCTTATTACCTATTTTTACGACGTTTATCATAATTTAGATAAGAAATCGAACTTTGTCAGTTTCAAACATTAGCTTTAACAGGATCTCTGCGTGTATTCCCATACTCGCAACTGGAAAGAATAACTTTAAAGCTAGAGACTTTCACACATGCATTGTATTGGTTGAAGCTAACCGGTCGCCACGACTTCAGGTCAACTGACGTTGACAATATATCATATACAGTAGGTACCACGCCCCTAAACAAAAAAAAAAAAAACAAAAACAAAAAAACAAAAAAAAAACGATACCTAAGGTTTAAAATGAATTTTAAAAAATGAAAAATCTTTCTTGAAGCTTTTATTTTAGTTTTAATTTCAAGCTAATAGATTAAATTTAATATATCCTGTAAACAAAATACTTTGCTGTATTTTTTAAAACTGATTAAAATTGACTGGAAAGGGAGTTTCTTATTCAGACGCCTTTCATCACAATGTAATTCTCTTTATTAAAAATCTTCCAAAAATAAAATATACATTTCTGAAACTTTATTTGAGGAACATTAGCTGATTTAAAATATAATTAATCTGGTTTTAAACAAATGTTATTTACTTTAAGTTTAAAATATCGCAGAAATGCGTTTTTTTTTTAACCAGACAGTAGTGTGTTTACGTGTATGACGACATGATGATACATGTAATGTTACACGGAGAATTTATTTGTAAAACGTTGAAGAAAATGACGTGAGTGCCTTTTTATTTTAATTTTCAAATACTCAGTGAAATTATAAATTTAGGAAAATATTCACCATAATCTAATGTTTTATTGAATTTGAGAAATTTTGGCTTTAAATTTTCTATAGTCATTGATCTTATTTTCAGATAAAGCCGTGTATGGTCGCCCATATTTTCAAAAATCGCCACGTTTATACACAAATAAAAATAATTCACAATTATTTTAGTATTGGTGTTTGATTATTTCTATTAAGCTTTTCCATTTATGATTAGTAAATATAGTTTTCACTTACTAAAAATATCATGAAAATCGTTGAAATTCAAACAGATTTTTAAAAGATTTAAAACTTAATAAATTTTTTCTACTTAAAATTTTAATGAAAACAACTCTTGTAAAAATTCATTACCCCCCCACACAAAAAAAAGAAAAGAAAAAAAGACAATATGTCTCATTGAATAATTTAGACAAGTTTTGTCTATTTTTAATAGGACCCTCTCGTAATTACGGACAAATTTCCTATCCTTATTAAGGGAAGAAAGAAAATTACCATGTTAATCATGAATGCTGTACAAATGTTATAAAATGTTTAAAGTTGATAGTTTAAAACATCTAGGTTTTAACTAATAGCTTTAAATAGTTTTTTTTTATATTTGGACATTTCAATAAATTAGTTACCTCCCTTGTGTCTACATGATAAAATTTAAAAATTATACATTACATAACCTTAGCGTTTTTCACTTCACACGTAAAAATTTAATTTTTAGATGAACACAACAAATTTTTGTCTTAGAAAAAGCAAGACCCTGATGACGACATTGGGCTAATGTCGAAAGTACTCAGAATAAAATGAATATACATCAACATAGTAATTTTCTTTCTTCCTTTAATAAGAATACTAAGAAATTTGTCCTTAATTACGAGAGGATACTATTAAAAATAAGTAGACAAAATTTGTCTAAATTAATTAATTAATGAGACATGTTTTTTTTATATGCGTATGTGCGTGTGTGTAAAATTTAAGCTGTAACTACAAATATATCTGTAA